CCTTCTTGTGAAGTGGCCTCATTATGTAGCCCTGACTGGCCTGGAACTCACAGAGATCCACCTGCCTCTGCCTCTCTGCCCTCCCAGTGCTGGGATTAAAGGTGTGGGCCACCACGTCCAGTGTTTTTTGTTGTTTTAATGAAAAGAAAATACTAACACCACAACCAAATAGTATTTGACACAACAAACCCAAATTCTTGAGAACCGGGAGAAGCCGTGCCAAGGTTTGGAACATCTAGCCTTGAAGACCCTCCTAGGCCAGTTTCCTTCCTTGTGGGCCACACCATCCTGGTCCCTGATAGTAACCGGCACAGGAGACCTGGGCAGGCCAGCCTGGCATGGCCTCTCCACCTCAGGGCCGGTGTGGCAGGACTGTCGCAGTGGTTTGTGCTTCCACATACTCCAGGGGGAACATTGACTTCGGGAGTTGAGAGGCAGGACTCTGGGAGGTATGGAGCCCCACCCAGAAGGGTCACGGTCGCGATGAGTGACGACAGTAGCTAAAGCTGGGAGAAGAGTCATTGGCACCTGGCGTGGACAGTGGGCAGGAGGGAGAGACCGACCGGACAAGGGCAGTTCTCTAGGGTGTCCTGTAATCCCAGAACTCAGGAGGTAGAGGCAGAAGAGCAGAAGCTCAAGGTCATCTTTGGATACATGCTGCATTTGAGGACAGCCCGGGATACACGAGACCCTGTCTCAAAATAAATAAATAAATAAATAAATAAATAAATAAATAAATAAATAAATAAATAAATAAATAAATAAAACAACACAAACCTAAGGACTTAATCGTGTCTCAGTTGTACCGTGTCTCCCCATCCATTTACCAAGCAGACCTAACCCTGCTTAGCTCCTGGGATCGGGCACATTCAGTACAGTACAGCTGTCGTGTAGCAGGATCGTTCCTAAGGAAGCACGTTTTGATCTTCTCGTGGGCAGACAGAGTCAAGTCAGCAGAGTGTACCCATACCGGAATTCACAGGTCGGCAGTCTCAGCTTTCTCCCCAAGTCTTTGGGAGAATGGTCGGGGTGTACTCCCAATTTAAATGATGGCCTGAATTGAGATGAATCTGATCCCGGGGGGGTGGGTGGGGAGAGAAGGCAGTGGTTCTTGAGCACAGGCCAGGGCACAGAATCAGCTAAGAGCGGCAGCTTATTAAGCCCAATGGGCTCGAGGGGCCTTCAATCAACCGGATGCCGTTCTCGGTTAGCGAGGCTCACAGCGCGAGGTGCCGTTCGTCCCTATCAGTCATTCCTCCATTACCCGGTCATACAGCACTGACGACAGTTCTTCATTAGTCCCCCGAGAAGACTTTTTTCTGGCTCTAACCACGTAGCCGAGAGCCAGAGCCTGGCTGCTGATGGGGGCCGGCAGACGTGGATAATCAGTCAGCTTGTATTAGCGCCTAGCGGAAAACGACAAGTCTGCAGCTCGTGTTCTCCCAAAGCCGATGAGCCTTCTCAAACCAGCAATTTAGCCGGAAAAATGAGTCTGCGAGACTCTACGAACATTCGTCACTCTCGGTTCCCCTCCTCTTTCCTAAGTGCTAACGCAAATTTGCAGTTCAGTTTCAGATATTCGGAAATCGCCTTTTCTGGCATTCTTTGATGCTCCACTAAGCAAGATGCTAAGTACCGTATACATTGCTTGTGTGGCCAGATGAGTTTTGAAGCTGTGGGGGGTGGGGTGTATTCTTTCTTTCTTAGTTTCTCTTTCTTTCTTTCTTTCTTTCTTTCTTTCTTTCTTTCTTTCTTTCTTTCTTTCTTTCTTTCTTTCTTTCTTTCTTTCTTTCTTT